GCCGCGCCCATCTCCGCCGCCCGCGCGCACTCACCGCCCGGCCGAACGGGGCCTCCGGGCCCAGGCCGCGGTTGGCGACGAGGGCTGCGGCCCGGCTGTCACGGCACCATCCTCTCCGCCGCTCCCGCTTCCCGTGCGCGCGGCCCCTCGGGAGGGCGCGAGGACACGTGGTGGAAGGAGGGAGGGTCCGGCCTTAGCTGAGGGTGTTGGGAGGCGAGGGGAGGAGCGGCTGATGTCAGCAGGCCTGGGCTGCGGGGGCATCCCCGCGCTGGCCTCGGTCGATGTGCCGGCTCGCTTGCGGCCCAACCCGGCCCGGCCTGGCGAGCTTAGCCTGGTGGAGGCAGGACCAGTCCCAGCCCCGGCTACGCCTGAGCGCACGTCGGTCGGCTCATTTGCATTCAGACTTGGTATATTTCTGCTCCAGCGGAGCACTGATGGGTACTCCTGCCGGTTCCTCCAGGAATGCCCTCGGAACCGGAGCCCAGCTAGGAGGCGGCTGGCAGGGTGAAGAGAGGTCCCATACTAGCAGGTTTATTCTAATAACACACGAGAAGAGAATTTGGTAGGTTTTTGTAGGTGTTGCCTATTATTAAATCCCGTGGACGAGGGAGCTGTGTAGAAAGATCCCTCTTTGAAACGTTTAAAGAAGTCTGTAGCTCTGTGGACAAAAAACAAAAATGTTCCACGAAACCTTGAAACCCTTCTCATTACAGAAAGATTCTTGGTTTAGATTGTTGTCAGGGGCTTCTTAAAGAAAAAAACACGTTTGACAGTTATTGAAACAGTAAGGAAGACTTCGTAAGAGAGAGATCGAGTTCAACATCGAATACAGTATAAAAGACTTATTTAAAGTCAGCAATAGAGGTGTGGGTATCAGGGGATGGAAAATTACTGAGGTCGAGGGATTCTTGCTAAGCCCACCGAGCAGTATTCTTGCTGAAGGCAATCAGGGTGACAGGTATCAAGGATAAGGGATGGAATATTTGATCAGTTGTGGAGGATGATCAGATATTTGGGGGGCCGGGACCCTCGCTAAACCGACTTAAGCAGGATTCTTGGTCAAAAGGGCTGGGCAAGGTGGGGTGGGTACAAAGGAAGAGGCCTCTCCAAGAAGAGGGCTCAGGAACTTGATCCAAGTTTGATCAAGGAGACAATCTTTCTAAAATTTTTAAAAAAATTATTCTTGCCTCTTTGTGTAGAGGTCAGAGAACAACTTTGTGGAGTCATTTCTCTCCTTCCACTTTTATGTGGATTTTGGGCATTGAACTCTGGTCCCCAGGCCTTTGGGACAAGGGCCTTTACCTACTGAGCCATCTGGCTAGCCCAAGAAGAGATTTTGTGGAACTTTTCAGATAGTTCCTGAGTACCTGCCTGATGTAAGAATTCGTTTCCTTTTTTAAAAATATTTTTATGTTATGTGTATAAGCATTTTACCTGCATCTATATAAGTGTACACATGTGTACAATGCCCTGCAGAGGCCAGAAAGGGGTTTTGGATCCCCTGGAACTGGAATTATGGACGGTTGTTTGCAGCCATGTACATCCTGATGAATCAAACCCAGGTCTCTGGAGCCATCTCTCCAGCCCCGAGAATTCTCTCTCCATTCTTGTGCCCATTCTTATTTATTTGTGTTAGAGTTTTACTTATCTCTGAGAGACCACTGTGAGGCTGTGCTCCCTATACATAAAATACAGCATGACAGATTCATCTTTGAAATGTTATTTTGGCTGACAAGAGAAGAGAAAGTCTAATTAGTGGATAGACACCATTCAATTATTGAGAGAGGAGGTTAGCAATGTTGTTTTAATGGACGGTTCTTTTAGAGTGTAAAATTAATCTTAAAAGCAGGACTGACTGTTTAAATTGATATTTCCATTTTAACATTTCTGAGGAAATGGCAGTTTCCAATGAAAGAGTGGGAAGATTGTCAGGAAGGGTGAAGGGTGAAGGGTTCTTGTTGCACCTCAGCTTCTTAAAAAAGAAAAAAAATATATATGTTCTGAAGCCAGATGAGATGGTTCATGCCTTTAATACCCAGCACTCCGGAGGCAGAGGCAGGCGAATCTCTATGAGTTCAAGGCTAACCTGGTCTACATAGTGAGTTCCAGGTCAGCTGGGGCTGCAGGGAGACCCTGTCTCAAAAAAAGACTATATATATTCTGATACAATAACAATAACAATAAAAGCAATAGTAGGTTTTAGTTCTTGAAAGTTCACATGTTCTTTAACTGTCCATAGGAAGACACTAAGCACTGACCCACTTGAATTCTTATTTTGAAACCATAACCCAGTGACTATTAAGGGCTCAACTTTTTTAGGGGCTTAATTCTAGCAAAACTCATTCTCAGAACAAGTGCTGGTGTCTTCTTGTAGCAGAACACTGCAGACATAACTATTCAAGTGATTTTCCAAGTCTGGTCACTTCTAGCTGCTTGGATTTCCTCAACAGCTAAAAGAGACGAATCACATATTGTCCAGGATTTCTCTCAGCTCTGCTCAATGATTTGGTTCCCAGTGAGATGTCATTTTAATCTTAATGGGGAATGGCTGAAGCAAGACTTTGAGACCCACTGTGCATGGCAGTAGTTCAACAACATGGGTTTCTCTTACTAGATGGTGTATATATTAGCAGAACACCTGTGTAATCACCATAATGAATCTTTGATGATGCTGTTGATCTTATTTTATTCTTACTCCTACTGAATTATGGTACCCATATACCATAAGGTTCCAAAAGGTAGGGCTGGAGAGATGGCTCAGTGGTTAAGAATAGGCTGAGGACTGGAGTTTGAATCCTAGCACCCAAGTAACAACCTGGGTATGGGTGGTATTGTGTGTACCTTAAACCCAGTACTGAGGGGAGGGCAGAAACAGGAGGATTCTGAAGCTTGCTGGCTTCCAGGCCCCAGGGGATGATGGGGAGTGTCACAAACATAAAACCCCCTTATAACCATTTTCAGAGAGAGACCTTGCCTCAAAAAGAATAAAGGGGAGAGTGATAGATCCTCTCTCTCTCTCTCTCTCTCTCTCTCTCTCTCTCTCTCCTGCTCCCTCTCCCTCTCTCTCTCTCTCTCTCTCTCTCTCTCTCTCTCCCCCTCTCCCCCCCACCCCACAGAGCTTCAAATATACCAAAATGCACATTTCTAACTCTAAGGATCTCTGTTGAATACACATTCTGACCTCCTTCAGTAGAATGTCCATAGCCCTCAAATAAGCATAGCTTCTGGCCCACATTCTTTTTTCCTCTGATACATTGGTAGATTGAATTAATGGTCTGTGCCCTTTGTGTCCCTATAGTAGTGTTACACATTGTGCCATTGCTGAGGTGGTGTGTACAGAATGACCTGCAATGCCCTTCACTTGGCCTGGCTGTCTGATGTACTTTGCCCAATGGAATGTGGGTGGAAGTGACACTGTGTGACTTCTGAGTAGAAGTTATATATTGCCACATGCACCTCGGGAGCTGATGACCTCTTCATGACAAAAACACAGAACAAAAACACAGAAGGGTATTCACTGTTGCTCAGTCCTGAGTGTACAATGAGGTGTTACAGAGCCTTCCTAGTTGATAGAAGACAACCTTGGACTTCAAGCTCTCCATACTGGCTCTCATAGGCATGCTTTGAGGATTGAGAATGGAGAATTTCCATTTCATAGTGGATATCCTCCAGTATCCTGGATGGGGAGGGAAGAAGAGGGTCACTGATGACCATTTCGTCTTTGCTGAGATTCTAGCATTTCAGAGGGAGAGTGAAATATGATTCTTATCTTAGAAATTACTCAATACGGCTTGAAGATATCTCTGGGAAATATTAAAAAATTAGCATCAAAGCCTTGTTAGTATTTTCAAATTTGTCCCTTTAAATCTCCTCTGAATAGATCTGTTTTCTTCAACAGTTCCTTACAGAATGTGGTTTTAAGTTTCTTGTCCATTTGCGGTAACTTATGCTTAACTTCCTTTTAGTACCATAGTCCTCAAATCCCACATACATTTTACATTCATTTATTACTCTCTCTCTTTTTTTCCTACAGAAGAGTTTATTAAAAAGGAAAAGGCAAACAGAGTTTGCTAAAGTAGCCCTAAGGGTCTGGTTCATGCATTAAACTCTGCCTGAACTCTGTGGCCTATAAGCTGTATGAAGTTTCCGTTTGATCCTCAGAATTTTAGATAAGTTAGAACAATCTCAGACACAAAGGCAGGTCCACTGTCTGATCCATTCAAGAGTGGTAGCCCATATCCTGGAATTATTTCCCTTAACAGAGCCTTTACTACTTCTCATGCCCACTCTGTGAGTTTAAAATGTCTCAGTTCATCTTGAGTATGTACAGAACAAGACTAGCAGATAATTTGTACCCACGTGCATGGTTTGACTTCTGTGAAATCTATTTCCAGATCCTCAAAGGGCATTGTCCAAGTGGTCTGTACCCCTAAGTTAGGTTTTGGCTTCTGGTTGGCATTGATTTTTCTGTACACATTATGCATCTTGCACTGGGTCTGGGTACATAAGATGTGGAACCATGACATAAAGTAATGCCAGCTTAGCAGATTTTCCATGGCTGTCTTTCCCAGGTGGGTTGACTCATGATACTGTCTTACCAACTAAGTTGCTGCTTTTTCAGGAAGAAAAGTCTGTAATTTAGGAGTTCCCACAAGCCTTCTGGCCCTTTGGTTCCTTTCTCACTTTTGGCCCATTGGTCCTCTTCTGTAGTGTACTTTGGAGATGGTTGTAACTCTGGTGCTAAGAGAATCATTGAGACCGGTTTAGGGATCGTTGCTGCCCTTGGAAGGCTGACAGTCTCCCTAACTGCCAGATCAGCCAGCTGATTTCCCCTGTTGATGGGGTCATTTTCTTTTTGATGTCTTTGGTGGTGAATCATTGTGACCTATGAGGGCTTCCAAACTACTTCTAATAATTGGAAGATTTCTTCTTTATTTTTGATTTCTTTTCCTCCTATTGTTGAAAGTCCTCTCTCCTTCTATATGACCCCATGGATGTGCAGGGTAGCAAAAGCATACTTTGAGTCCATATAGATGTTAACCCATTTGTTCTCAAGCCTTAGTGCCTGGATTTGTGCCTATAATTTTGCTGTCTGTGCTGACCAACTTTGTGGTAAGGCTTCAGCCTTGATGACTTCATCAGTGGTGGTCAGTTCATATCCTGCTTTTGTTGCCCCCTCATGGCATATCTGT